ATATATATATATATATATATATATATATTTATTGGAAAATATTTAACTGAATATTTTTTCTACCCATTAACCAATAAACAATGTTACTGTCAGTAATTTTACATACGTATTACAAGGTGCATGCACAAAGGAAAAAATGAGTGAATGCACTGCTGTTGAACTGTGTAAATCATATCAATGGTTTGACGGTATGCTGTTCAGAGATGTGCACGGACTGTTGCTAAACGTTCGCCACATTTGGCATAAATCTGTTTCTAAACTTTTCTGGTTTTACTTATTCCAGGTGCAGAAATCAGTGATCCACTTGAGAACTAGTAAAACAAAATGTAAAAAAAGAAAAGATAAGAAATAAAAGAAAAGTTGAAAAAAATTGACAAGTTTTTCCAAGGCAATAGAATCAAGACAAGAATTAATAGATTAAATCCAATTAAAAATTGAGATTATTACTGCATTCAGAAACGAAAGCTGCAACAGCAAAAGTAATAGTAGCATCAGTAATAACAATAACGATACTGAAACTGTTAATGTTGACAAATGATAATATGCCATTATAAGCCGTGTATTCGTTCTCGAATGTCACAGTCTGGATAACATTCACCAATATCTGACTGATTCAAAAATGGTATGACAATGAACTGTTTCGGAAGCGCATTTGCCGACCCACGTTCTCCGCCTGACACCATCGGTTTTAAATCGATGCATTTTACGTGCTTCTCATTCCGCCATGGCCATCCGTTATAGTCAGCCGCACATTTGGTAAGATCAAAATCTTGCTAAAATAAGACACTTAATTAGCAAGAATTTTTTGTTGTAACAAAATTAGAGAGCTAACAAGTAAAACAATGCATTTCACATTTGCATCTTAAACTCCATTCATAAAATGTAAATCCAGTGAATAAGCAGGCTTACTCGAAACGGTGACGCCCAACCTTTTTCGTTAACATTTCTAGCTTTCCAACCATGAATCATAAAATCTTTATCACACCAGGCATCGCCAGTATGATACCAATCTCGACAAAATGAATGTGCTCGTCTTAGCAATTTGAATTTTCCCGGGAAAATCCTTGTTGCTCCTGTAAGTTAACGAACGCATTTATGACACTAAGTTGGTTTCCATCGTCATACGTTTACCTCATAAAACGATGTAAGGACAGTTATGATTTATTAATTTTAAACCACAGCATATGGCTAACCTAAATATATGCGAACACAGATGACATACGGAATATATGTTTCGTAACCAACCGAGGTATACCAAATTTTGTGACAGTTTCTAACTTCTTGCGATTCTTTTGGAAATAGTGATTCCAAAGCCACAATCTATGTATTTTTAAGCGGTTAATATAATTTAAGTTATCGGTCTCTTAAATTTGTTATAACTACCATCTTTACATTTATTAGCAGTAGCAATTTGGTCTTATAATAGCCTTTGCTAAACCACAAAACACTGTTTAAAACAGAAAACAAGTATGCATCAAAAAGCTGGAATTATTAGAAATAATAATTACAGGGATGATAAACCTTAAGAAGCTTACATGAAGCGGTCCATTGTCAAACCCCTTCCACCAGGAACCTCCTAATTCAAGGTGTTCGTAATCTGCCCAACGCTTTAAAAAGTCTTTTGCAAATTCTGAATTTCTCGCCTAAAATAGTCAAAAGGCATATGAATAGTAAGACATCGCTGTAGACTTGTTGCTTAAGAAGTAACTTAAACAGTCTCAACTTTGTCAATACTCTACTAAAACATGAGCGAAACTAAATATGAAGACAGAAGAGAGAAACCTCTAAAAAAAGGTTTCAAAAAAAGGTTTCAATAATTTTAAGAAAACAAAAATAAGTCTTTTTTTTACCAAGTAATTGCCACATGCAATTTCCCAGTTAAAAAAACGTTCGTAAAATATCATGTTAACCCTGGCATCGATGTATTCTTCGATACAGTGATTTGGGTTAACAATACCCGTATCAGCGTCCATTACAAACATCCAGTCTGTATCTTCTAAGTACAATCTTGCTGCACAGTGTTTACGAAAATAAACCTTGAAAAAAACCTCTTTTTTTTTTCTTTTTTGATTAATTCATGTATTTTCAGCAGCAATTTTTTTCAGTAGTTTCTTGAGACTTCTTCGTAAACAAAACTTTCATTAAACAGAAATTGCAGCGATTTTTTTGTGAAAGTACGACAACTGATGCTAAAAATAATTAACAAGGAGGAGGAGGTAGACATTACCGTTTTGTATTCGGAACAAGCTTCAATAACTCGTGTGTCGTTGAAAACATCAACAATCTTTAGCTCGTAATCTGTTCCAGCAATATAACACCGAACCGAATCTAATGCTACTTTATAAAGACTGTAAATTATCATTAAATTAAGCATTTGTAAATCATCACCTTTTATGTACCAGTTGTGTTTCCCACGAATATCAAAAACATGAACAGAAAAGCATAGCTTTATATTTAGACGTCAAAAGTATTCACAGCCACAGTTTTTGAATTATAAATTTGTAAAAAAAGAGCCAACAGAAATTAGCTAGAATAATTAACTGTACCTATTATATGCAACAGTTTCAACAGCAATAAACACCATAACTTTTCCATATATATGATTACATTTTCCCATATTTATTCGTTTTGTGGGTACATTTAACAGTTTATCGGTGTAAACAAAAGAAATGTTACTGTTATCTTGTGTGGTACCATCATCAATCTGATTTTCAGTAACCACTAAAATTTGTCGATACTAAATGAGGTTTAGATGATCAAAAAAAAGCAAAAAAAAAAGATTATAAAAGATTAATAATGATGTTAACATTGGTTCAGAATTTATCTCAATTTATGTATGTTATCACTTAGAAAAAATTAGATAAAAAAATTAAGGTCTCTTTGCTTTTTTTTTTTTTTTTCAAACATTGCTGTTACGTCTACACAAATATTTCAGTTATTCTATGTCAATTTA